ATCTGAATTTCCTAAAATAAAAAAATAAAAACAAAAAAAAACTAGAAAGTGAGCACAACACGTCTCTTTCCAACTCTCTCACCTCATTTTTGGGCCGAATTCTAACCATTACATTGAGGATTGGAACCAGACAACAATGAGAAGAGAGAGAGAGAGAGAGAGATTAATTAATACAAGCCAGAAAAATAGTCATACTAATACGCAATGTGCAAATACCAATTTTAGTATGAGAATATAATATTATAATGAGGTAAATTACACTTTGTCCTTTTTATGTTTAGATATTTTTTTACTTTGGCTTTAAAATTTGTTTTTTTCTCATTTTGACCCTTCTTTTTTCAAGTTTTTCTTAATTTATTTCTAAAAAAACTAGTTTCTACTCAAAATTAAACAAAAAAATCTACATTAACAAGCACATGACATAAAAATATTTTATTATATAAAGTTCATACTTTTGACACAAACTCAAATTTTAATATAATATTATATTTTTTTAAACAGATAAATAAACAGATAAATGACAAACATGAAATTAACACCATTCAACTTAAATCATTTATAACCTAGCAGGTTCACACGCAGTGGCAGAGGCAGCAAGGGATGAGGGGTCACGTGCCTCCCTGAATTTTGGATTTTTTTTTTTTTTTTTGGCAAATATAAAAAAAAAAAAAAGTGACTATTGGTTTAATGGTTAAGACTTGACCTAATAACCTTAAGGTTATGGGTTCAAGTCTTGGGATTGTGCATTATGTCAAAGGTTAGGTATATACTCAATCTTTCTCCTCCCAAACACACATTAATGTGTACTACTTGGGTGTTGTTGTTTTGTTGTAACTATAAAAAAAATATTTTAAATAAAAAAAATTACAAAAATATTATTAGAGTGAAATGTCAATGACATTTTAAAAATTATGAGAATAATAATAGTTGTTTTGAATGAAAATGAAAAGACTATTATAAACTATATCATCTATGAAAATTTTATGAAAAATTTTCAATGTAACGGTAATGTCATTATTATTGACATGCAAGTATAAGTAATCTCACTATAAAGATATGAAATTTATTAGATTATTAGTTACATCTGACATGTGAGGTTCACTCTCTATGTGTTTATTTACTATTAGTTGTTGATATCACATACTAATGATGAAATGATATTACCATTATATTGAATTTTTAATCAAATTTTGTATAAATTTTTTTTTTATCATTATACAATTTATTTTAAGACTTATATCCATATTTTTTTATATTGTCCATGATACATTAGTTACAAATTATATATTTTTTTTTTATATTTCTCGAAATCAATCGTAAAAACTTGCATTAAATATTTTTGTAAAATTTTTCAATATTATAATTAATAAGTACCCCTCTAATTTAATTTTCTGGCACCGCCACTGTTCACACGGCACAAGTTACTTTGATACCAACTGTAATAGCTCATAGTAATTATACGACTCATCCTAAATACTAATGAAATATTTTTTTTTTCTAAGAATCGCAACTTTAAAACACATTGTTAATAAGAATAAATGTAAACTCACTTATATAACTACGAATTTTCTTATTCAAACGGTGTGTGATGTGAAACAATATACTAAAAAGAGTGTGGCATATCAGCTATAAGTCTAAGCAATACTATAAACAAACTCTGAATTAAACCTTGCTGATGTGTAAAATTTTTTATTGGATGTCACACAATTCTAAAAACTTAAAAGATTGTGTAAAATTCAAGGGTGATGCTGTGCAGGAACCTAGGCCAAGGCATGAAAATTGTTGCATCGTGTGGCCAATTCACTTGCTGCGGGTTCAGATTCTAAAATTTAGACCATGGTGGTTGATGGGTCATTGTGATGAGACACTAGGCAATCTGGATGTGCTTGGGTGTGTTTTGATCAAAATCAAAATCAAACATACCATCAAGCCATTCAAGTGTATTTGGACACTCCTATTATGGCAGAAGCAAGAGCATGCTTTGAAGCTATTCAGTGGGCCAAGAAAGAGGAGCAATCCTCCATTTCTATATTCACTGAGAGCCAGGTCTTTGTGGATATGCTGACGGGGTTTATTTTGCCAGACTGGGCTTTGATTACTATTTTGGCAGATATGAGGTCATTAAGCTGTTCTTTTTCATTTTTAGCTATATCTAAGGTAGATCGTTATGTAATAAATCCAGCTCAAAGTCTGGCTAGAAAGGTAAACAATCTATATGATTAATATTATTGCTGTCAAGCAATACTATAAACATACTCTGAATTAAACCTTGCTGATGTAAAATTTTTTATTGGATGTCACACAATTCTAAAAACTCAAAAAATTGTGTAAAATTCAAGGGTGATGCTCTGCAGGAACCTAGGCCAAGGCATGAAAATTGTTGCATCATGTGGCCAATTCACTTGCTGCGGGTTCAGATTCTAAAATTTGGACCATGGTGGTTGATGGGTCATTGTGATGAGACACTAGGCAAGCTGGATGTGCTTGGGTGTGTTTTGATGAAAATCAAAATCAAACATACCATCAAGCCATTCAAGTATATTTGGACACTCCTATTATGGCAGAAGCAAGAGCATGCTTTGAAGCTATTCAGTGGGCCAAGAAAGAGGAGCAATCCTCCATTTCTATATTCACTGAGAGCCAGGTCTTTGTGGATATGCTGACGGGGTTTATTTTGCCAGACTGGGCTTTGATTACTATTTTGGCAGATATGAGGTCATTAAGCTGTTCTTTTTCATTTTTAGCTATATCTAAGGTAGATCGTTATGTAATAAATCCAGCTCAAAGTCTGGCTAGAAAGGTAAACAATCTATATGATTAATATTATTGCTGTCAATTGTTCTCAGACCAAAAAAAAAATATGTGGTTTGGAATGGTGTCTATATTAAGCATAATTGTCTTTCTAATCTTTCTCATGTACCATCACAATTGAGGAGGCCACATAATCCCCAACTTACTCTCTCACCTCATTTTTAAGTCAATTGATGAGCATACTTAGGGATTATTTGGAATGACCTAAATAAGTGTACTTTTTATTTTTTTACGAAAAGATGTGCAGAAAAGTAAAGAAGTGATGTGATGAAAAAAAAATAAAAAAATAAAAAGATGAATTATATTGAAGTTGCCAAACTTGACCTTATTTTAGGTCAAATTCTACATAAATATTGAGGCACATGGCATAACCATTGTGGCTTGTGTTAATCCACTAGTCAAATTTTCACATTCAATTTCAACAAAAAGTAGATCACATGCTCTTATCAATATTCATTATCTATCTCTATCTCTAAAACACACCTACTTCGACTTGATTTTGATTTATTAAATTTTGATTGACACCTGTGTTTGTATTACTACCTCAACTCAATTTAATTTCTTTTCTCACTAGGATGTCATAAATTTTATTTTATTTTTTTATTGGAGTCACTCTATTTTAACAGTTGTGTTATATATGCTGAATTTTATCTGAAATTTAAATTTGTGAACAATTTGTTCTTCATGTAGTCTACAACACCCGAGCTATAAAGAGTAATACTATGAATCCACCCTTATCAATTCAGAAATTATTCATAATTTTTATCTTGTGATTCAAATTTATTCTACACATCGACTCACACTACACATATTCAATCACATCTCTACACAACCTCATTCGGGATAAATTCAAAAAATTAAGAATAGGTATCTAGAATTATTCAACTATAAATCTAGACCCCACACTATACTTTCCTAGCAAAATTTTCATAATATCTTGAATTATTCCTATTTTAAACCAACTCAACAACCTTTTGTCCTAGTATAAATCTATTTTAAATTCTATCAGAAGCTATATTTACAAAATTAAAAAATCAAAAAGTTATTAAAAAAACTTAAAAAGTTCATATTATTCAAGGGTAGCTTGTGGGGATAGCTTAGAGGGCAAAATTATTATTTTATCCTTTAAATTCAACTATCCAAAAGTCAAAAAGTTACAAGTCAAAAGGTCAAAATGATAGAATGGTCATTTTGATTTTATTATAATATTTTATTACATATCTTTTCATAAAAAGTCAAAAAAATTATCTCAAACATATATCTTTTTTCTCTATTTTTTTAAATAAAAAATTAAAAAATACACTTATATAACGCATCCCAAACAAGCACTAATATAAGGTAATCACATCATATCTTATTAACTGAATCATGTTCTCTTTAGTCTTCCGCATCAATCAAATAACCTATACAGTATTAATCAAATAACCTATACTCCATCCGTTCTAAAATAATAGTCTTTTTTAAGGAATCTAATTTTTTTTAATAATACAATTGTTGTATTTAAAAAATAATAATTTTTCAAAATTATCCTTTGATAATACATTTTTTAAAAAAAATTATCAATGTCATAATTATACTTTTTATGTTATTAATGAATTTAAAAGAAGAATAAAATAAAAAATTTATATCATTTTTGTATTTAATTTTTGAAAAGAGACTAATATTTTAAAATAATAAAAAATTAATATTTTGAAACAGACAGAGGGAGTCATTTTATCTCCAATTGAAACAACTTCCAACTTTTCATTTCTTACTAATCTTCTCTTATAAACAATACTCTTCTATTTCAATATTTTCATTTTAACTACACTCATTTTCCGAACATATTTTTTCTAAACAAAAACTCAAAACTCAAATACCATACATCACAGAAAATCTTATTATTATAAAAAAAAAATAAAAAAAAATAAAAAAAAAAAAAAGCAAAGCAAAACAAAACAAAACAAAACAAATGTATTAAAACCTACTTTAGTTTCTGTAATTGCAAATCTATGATCCATGAGGTTTCTACTAATCAATCAAACTAGTATGTTGCTCACAAAGTTTTTTTAAAACCAAAAAAAAGGTTGAAACTGACAGAGGAAATTTGTACCAAAGTCTAGGTTCAAGAATCTTAAGACACTTCCATAGACTCGAACAGGGCAAGAAAGAATGATTTAGCAAACAGAGTTCTAATGAACTTTTTTTTGTTTTTTTGTCATTTCACAGGCCAATTTGTTAGCATTGTATCATGCACTGTCACTGCGTAGTGCACTTAAACTGACAGAAATACATAATATTTACACATACATGTCAACTAAATACCCTAACAAGATTCAAATATGCATAGCAAGAGCAAAAATCACAAATTTAAAAAATAAAAAACATAAAATAAATCAGATAAGATAGGGTTTCAGTTACATGCCCCATACACCACGTGTGGTTGCCACTTTGTTGCTTGGTCGAGAGGTTAATTCGTACAATATCCTGGCAAATGTGTCGGAATATTTTCCATCTGATAGAAGTATCTCTGCAAAGGCATTCTCATAAGCTAGAAGCAGGGCTCGGTTCTGTGGTTCTGCGACAAGGCTCTCCAATATTATTGCCGCTTTCCGGCAAACTTCTGGCACTGAATGTGTCTTAATCACTTTCAGCAGTCGATCAACTGCCCTGAAATTCAGAATAGTGTTGCACTCAGAGAACTACAATATGAAAAAAGTTCACCAAAGACAAAAAAATACAAAAAACAAGAATCAGAAAACAATTTTAGAAAACCAAACCAAACAAACCCAATATTTTGTATTGTAGGTCTCGCAAAATACATTTTAAGTAACAAAAACAAAAACTCACCATCGCTCACTAGCAAGCTTCAAACGGCAGTCCATGTTAACTTCTGCAAGGTTATAAAGTGCACCAACAGCAGCTGCTTGTGCATCTACAGCTGGTAAGCTCAAAATATCAACCAAACGCTTGTAAATCTGCAAAGTCCATCGCAACCTCAGAGTACTAAATGCTCATAATATAAACTAAACTTCATTTTTATTTAAGAGGGATCGTATGAAGAGTAATATCAAACCTGTGGGCCGAAAGGAAGAATGAAAGGTTCATTATCAGGATTTATTATCAAACGGCCAATTAACTCTGCAGCTCCAAAATTCCAGGCTTTGACAGAAGATTTCAGCATCCCCATGATGGCTTGGACTGCATGTTTCTCCCTGGTTTGGCAAAAACCAGTGAGAAAATTATTGACTTAGGGGGGTTCTTTTCCTTCTATTTTTGGAACAAGCAATTCTGAAATTGGAAATCATAGTTGCATGATGTAAAGAAAAATAAGAAGTCAATTCTTACGTAATTTTGATGAATGAAGGCTTTGATGAACTAAAGATTCGAAGATCCAGTAGTGGTGCCAAATTCACAACTGTCTCGAGGGCATTTGTGACAAGTTCCTCATCCTCTGCAAATATTGAGATTATTTTTCAAGCACTTGCATTCAAGGAAAATACAAAGTAAATAAGCACTTACATTCTAGGAAAATACAATGTAATGTACCATTCATTCCAGGTATGTCAAACTATTTTACAAAAATCATCCATTTCTTATAAACATCATGGAATATGTCAAAATCACACTAAAGGAAGTCAGAAATTCCCTTAGATGATTACAAAGTCAGTGAACCTCTTTCATTCAGAATCCAGTTGATTTGGAATGTGGTCTTTCATTTTCCTGCTTTTTCATGCAGTGCAGTCTTGGTTCATACATAACATGTTCAGGGAATGGAAAATTTAAGATAAATAGAAAAAGTGATGCAATACCCAATTTATACTAACAAGACTAACTACTTCATAATAGTAATCAATTTATCATCTTCTCATGGCTCTCACATCAACTGGGCTGCATCACATTTGTAGTGTGGCAGGAGAGAAGATCTCTTTAAGAAATTACCCAATTTACTGAATTAGTTCAAATATTCCAATATATTCAACACACACAAACATCGTGTATACAAAATTGAAAGAAATACTTACGATTCGTTGGTAAGAGAAAAAAAAATTACAAGATACGAAATGTCCTACAATGAAGGCCAATTGAGGCATCAATGAAGGAAAACGAAACAGTTTTGAGTAATTATGGCTAAAGTTGTCACCTGCAATATGATCTTCAATGCACTGAAAGACTGTTTCCAAGCAATGACGATGCTGGGCCATTATGACTTCATTTTCTGCCATGAAAGAGAAGTTGCGGATAATATTTGAAGCAGCAACAGCACATTGTTGCTTCTCTGCACGTCCTTCATCATCCAGGTTAAACAGGCCATCTTCTTTAAACCACCACTCTGAAGGATGAGTTTTGGTGGTACTCTTCTGCACAGATGCCTCTATAATGGAAGAACCAGGTCCCATGCTGCCATCAGAAGGTCATCCCAAATTCAGGTTCCAACTCCATATTGCAAATCTTATGCAAAAGAAACTTCAAAATTTACTAAAAATGAGTAAATAATCATGTCAAACCTACCTTGGATTAGGAACGACATCATTGGACCTTAAAGGCTTGTTTTCATTCCCAAACCCTGTCACAAGAGAGTTTGCGCCTAACAATCTCACCCGCGGTGTCCTCTTTACAAGCCCCCTCGGTAGGGCTATATCACGCCAATCGTCTATCTGTTCCAATTGTAAATAGTATTATATTAATACAAACTGTAAGGAATTCTATGTTGCAATAAAACTTTAAATAAGCTCCGAAAGCTCATAGAAAAATTTACACATACAACTTGGAGAAGAGCATCGAGCAGCCCAGGTATTTTTGCAAGAGGGGTTGCATCTCTCCGCACTTCATCCTTTTCTTTGAATGAAAGATTGGTGAGAGCATTCAATGCCCATGTCAGCTCACTCTTTAATCCACTTTGAAGAGCCAGAACTATCCTTTTGTTATTTTGATCTGGATTACAGAGACGCAACAAGAAAAAAATGGGTGTCAAAAATTGCCTCAACCATCTACCGATCATTGTAAATAGAAATATCACGCTGGAGTTACTAAAACATCATGCAGGTATTAGCTTACAAGCAGGATCACCTATCACTTGCATTAGGCATAAGCATATAAAGCTTTGAAAGATTAACTAACAATGGCCAAGTGATCGGTGATCCCGTGAGGGTATTTATCACACAAGAAAATACAATCCGGAAACTAGAATAAAAGGAGAAAAATTTTAGATGACTAAACCATTGTGGTGGCCATGTATTTATAGTGTTTTCATGGTGTCTCTTAAGCAATGGTTACAGCCATTGACTTCAAAGCATTATGTCTTTGTATTTCAAATTCAAACCAAACTAATTCCCAGATTGTTTCTTCCTACGGGAAGGTTTTATATTACCACCAATTAGGTCATGATTCGGTGTGAGACAATCCACCATATTATGGTGTGAACACCTCTCATACCTTCATCTCCCACTTGATCACACTATAATAGTGATGATAAAACCTGAGTTGGACATGTTTACCTTGGTACCAACATTTTGCCTCATGCCAACTTTCATCTATGAATTTACCTCATAGATCGATGTCTGATTGTGACTTGGCCATACGTACGCACGTTTTTGCCATCAAACTGACCGCACCCGTACGAATGTGTTCTCCCACTAACAACACACTCTAGATGACTTCAATTCAGTATCTTCCAAATGAACGGCATCAATTTTCAGTCCTGGGTTTATAGTCCATACCCAATCACCATTGACGACTTCAACCGCACACATTCCTCATGTGTCGACCGGCACCGAAATTATTGTTAAGTACTTCCTCTAAGGCCCATTCCTGAAGGTTTTCCTTAACACACCTTATCAACGACTTTTTGTGATCAAGCAGGAAACATCATCTAGTCAGTGTGTTACATATCATGGACTTTACATCTCATGCTAACTATGATGTCCGTCACTTGTCAGGTCCTCTATCTTATTACCTGACCAAACACATGTTTTATACGCAAGATAGAGTCGCAAATCATCGGTTATCTAGGCATCCCTAGAGTCATCCGACTATGCTCTTATATAAGTAGCTAAACCGCTTAGCTAGGCATTTTTCAATCCCATATTAGCTACACGTTCTCTGAATTTTTCCAGAGACAACCCTTTGGTCATAGGGTCGGCCACCATCTCTTCTGAGGGTATAAAGTCGACTTTAACTTCACCTCTCTCCACTATATCCTGAATATAGTGGTAACTTACATCAATATGTTTTCCCTTAGAGCTATTCGCTCCACTTTTTATTAATGAGATGGCAGACTGATTGTCACAAAACATATTGACCGGTCCAACAGGCATACCTAATTGTAAATTGTCAACAAATCGTTTTATCTAGGCCGTAGTACTAACGGTTGTGCCGCAGGCTATGTATTTAGCTTCCATAGTGTACTTTGCACCACAACTTTGTTTCTTACTTAACCAAGAAATGGATGTTCCACCAAACAAGAACACATGACCACTAGTAGATTTTCTATCATCTACATCTCTTGTAAAATCCGTGTCAGTGTATCCTTTTATGTCTAGATCACACAAACCAAAACATAACTTCAAATTTTTAGTGCCTTTTAAATATCTGAATATTCTTTTGACTGCTTGCCAATGTTCCTTACCTGGATTGGATTGAAACCTACTTACCAATCCAACTGCATGACAGATATCAAGTCTCGTGCTTGTCATAGCATACATTAGGGTGCCTACTGCCTGAGCATATGGGACATTTCTCATTTCCTCAACGTCAAACTTAGTTTAAGGACTCATATTTTTACTAAGACTTTGTCCCTTACAAATAGACGTGTTTAAAGAATTACAGTTTATCCATATTAAATCTTTTGAACACCTTGTCTAGATATTTCTCTTGATCTAGATATAATAATTTTGAATTTCTATCTCTTGAAATTCTAATTCCTAGAACATAGATTGCAAGACCCATGTCTTTCATTTCAAATCTAGATACCAAGAAAATCTTGGGCTCCGTTTGGTGGAGCTTTCAAAATATAGTTCGACAATCACTTTTGAGTGTGGTGTTTGTTTAGCGTTTTCAAAAGTTAATTCCACACTCACTTTTGAAAACTCTTTCCATGGCGGGAAATTTTGGGCTAACCGGTCGTCCGGCCGGTTGACCGGACCGGAACAGTGTTCGGGTTTTTTTTTTTTTTTTTACCTGTTATTTTTATATTACAAAAAAAAAAGGTCTTGTGCTCGTCATAACATACATTAGGTGCCTACTGCCTGAGCATATGGGACATTTCTCATTTCCTCAACGTCAAACTTAGTTTAAGGACTCATATTTTTACTAAGACTTTGTCCCTTACAAATAGACGTGTTTAAAGAATTACAGTTTATCCATATTAAATCTTTTGAGCACCTTGTCTAGATATTTCTCTTGATCTAGATATAATAATTTTGAATTTCTATCTCTTGAAATTCTAATTCCTAGAACATAGATTGCAAGACCCATGTCTTTCATTTCAAATCTAGATACCAAGAAAATCTTGGGCTCCGTTTGGTGGAGCTTTCAAAATATAGTTCGACAATCACTTTTGAGTGTGGTGTTTGTTTAGCGTTTTCAAAAGTTAATTCCACACTCACTTTTGAAAACTCTTTCCATGGCGGGAAATTTTGGGCTAACCGGTCGTCCGGCCGGTTGACCGGACCGGAACAGTGTTCGGGTTTTTTTTTTTTTTCTCTACCTGTTATTTTTATATTACAAAAAAAAAATATTTGTGAAATTTTTTAAAAAAATTTTATAAGTTTTGAATGGAATTTTGGGTTGTGTGTTTAGTTATGAGTTGTAAGTTTTTGTATCAACTATCATATGTTACATCACTAAATTCAAACTTAATTTTAAACTCCTTTCAAAACTCATAACCAAACAAATTTTCCACATTCAAATGATAATTCCAAAATTCACAAACTCAAAATACAACTCTATTCTCAAATCATAATTCTAAAACTCTACCAAACACTACCTTGGTTTTTATAATCATATCTGGACAATTTCCTGCTAATAATATGCCACCCACGTATAAAGACAATATTGCTAGCTTGTCATCATATTTCCAGATATAAACACAATGATCTAATGGACTCACAACATAGCCTATTTCTAAAATGGCTTGGTGGAATTTTAAGTACCATTGTCTTGAAGATTGTTTAAGTCCATACAGAGATTTCTTCAACTTGTAGACTTTATCCTCGTTGTCTTGGATCTGGAAACCATCAGGTTGCATCATATAAATTTCTCTTTTAATTCTCCATTGAGAAAAGTTGTTTTAACATCTAATTGATGCAATTCCAAATCCATCCTGACTACTACCGCCATTAGAACCCTTATTGAGGCAAATTTTGCAACAGGGGAATATGTATCTACGAAGTCTATTCCAGGTTGTTGAGTGAATCCTTTGGCTACTAACCTGGCCTTATATTTCTCCAAACTTCCATCTACTTTGAATTTCTTTGTAAGAATCCATTTGCAACCAATGGCTTTTCTTCCATTCGGGAGATCGGTTAATTCCCAAATATCATTTTTCTTGATCGAGTCAAGTTCTTCATTCATTGCCTCAAGCCATTGTGTAGCATCACTGCTACTCATTGCTTCAATATAACTAGTAGGATCATCTTCTAAGTTATTAAGTTCTTCAACTTGAAAAACATAATGATCTTTCAAAAACGTAGATGGACGTCTTGCTCTCTTACTCCCACTTATCTCAGGATTCGAAATAAGTAAAACAATGTCATGTAATTTGCGTTTCCTCCCACTATTAGATGGTTTTGGGAGAATTTGTGGATCGTGTGACAAAGAAGGAAGAGAAGAATCCAAAGATACTTCAGAGAGCAATTCAATTTGTTCAATAGGAGTAACAAGATCAATGGATTCAAAAAAAATAGCATCTCTACTTTCAATTAATCCACGTTTGGGATGGTAAAAACGATAATCACTCCCATTTTTAACATAGTCAATAAACTTGCATTCCCAAGTTTTACTTCCCAATTTATCCCTTAAAGGTTTGGGAATAAGTACATGTGTTTTGCATCCCCAAATTTTGAGATTTTGAACATTAGATATAGTACCATGCCAGCATTCGTAAGGAGTTAGAGGTTTGACTTTTGTTTTGACTCTATTTAATATGTACGCAACAGTGGACAAAGCTTCCCCCTAAAAATGAATAAGAAAATCAGCATGAGCCATCATAGACCTTGTCATTTCCATTAAAGTACGATTTCGTCTTTCTGCGACTCCATTTTGTTGTGGTGTGTATGGCATTGTAAACAAATGTTTTATGCCATTGTCCTTACAGAAAGAATCCATAACTTCATATTCGTCACCTCTATCATTATTCAAGTGTTTAATAGACCGACCAAGTTGCTTTTCTACCTCTAATTTATGTTCTTTAAACTTTTCAATTGCCTTTGATTTATGTTTAAGAAATTAGATATGTCCATATCTTGAATAATCATCAGTGAAAATAATAACGTATTTCATGCCTCAATGAGTTTTAGCTCTTAAAGGGCCACGAATGTCCGAATGAATTATTTCAAGTAATTCCGATGATTTCCAATGTTTGAAAAATAGCTTGCTAGTCATTTTGCCTTTGATACATGATTCACATATATTAAAATCATCAGAACATACTTTAGGCAATAAACCACTTTTAAACATTCGAGACATTTTATTTTTATTAATGTGACCTAACCTTAAATGCCACAAATAAGAACTATTACTAGTAGAAACATGCAAATAATCCTAAACAAATACTTTATTATTATCAATAGGAAGAGAGTACATGTCATTCGCTCTTACACCTTTCACTAATACACTTCATTTCTTAATCAATACTGTGTTAAACCTAAAACTAATCTCAAAACCCTTTTGGGCTAACACCGGAACTGAAATTAAATTTCGAAGAATGTTGGGTA